CAGCCCCCAGAAGCCTGCCAGGGGCTGCAAAAGGCAGGCGCCTGCCTGGTCTAGTGCAGAGATCGTGGACCTCATGAAGGTTTGGGGGTGGCCTCCAATGCCCAAGATCTCCACACTAGGCACAGGAATGCGGCTGTCTACCCCCGCCGGGCTGCCAGCCTGGCCACCAGAGGGCACATGTGCAGCCAGGAGCAGGTGTGAACTAAAATCAAAGAGCTGTGGCAGGCCTATGCCAGGGGCTCTCAATCAGGGGCTGACCCGGAGACCTGCCCACACTACGAGGCCCTGGACCACATCCTGGGGGGTCAGATGGTCCGTGCCCCCAGATGGTCATTGACCCCGCGGCAGAGGACCCTGCCCCTGACACGGGGGAAGAGGAGGAGGATGGCAGCCAGGAGCCGCAGGAGCCTGCAGGGAGTGTGCCCTCCACCCAGGACCCCTGAGCCATACCATAGAGCCCATCAGCAGCCTCATCTGAGGTTAGGGAGGCCTCTACCTGTGAGTACCATCACAGTCCCCTTATGTGGGGCTGGGAGAGAGGGGGAGCCCAGGGACCATGCACGTGGGCTTTGCCAACCATGGAGCAGGCAGCAACCTGTGCATCTGCCGTGCCAGCTGGGACATGTGGCCCCAGCTGGGTGCCATGCAGGGACCCTGGCCTGTTACCCACACACGTCTACGCGTGAAGACACATGACAGGCTTCTAACCCCGGGGAGAGACACTGCACACTGCCCTCCCTCCAGCCCCTCCCCCGCTACACAGAAGCAGGGCACATCTCCCCTCCCGGCTCCTCCCCCTCCACACTATAGGCAGCACAGGGGTTGGGGTGCAGTCCTGGGCCAGCTCACACTCCCGGGGATAGCAGGACATGATGGTGCAGAGATCCTAAGATCCTAAGATCAAATCCAGTTACACAGGTATAAACACCCATATTCAAAATCCTCAAATTCAGGATGTCAGATGTGGCCGAAATATATATATGGACCCCAGTCTCCATTTCATTAAACCAGTTATACATTGGTGTGACTACATTATGGTGAATGGAGTCATGCTAACATAAAACTGATGGAGGATCAGGACCATATAAAATAATGTAGCTGCAAATATTTATTTATTCAATTTTATTGTAATAATGAAAGTAGAATATGATTTCCTTCAACAGTACTTCTGAAATAAAAATGTGTAAAAAAATGTAGCTGCTCATTTATTTACATGTCTCAAATACTGGATATTGGTATTAAACCTTGATATTTTGACCAGTAACAGATATAGCCATTTCTGAAGGCAGTTTCTGCATCTTTGAACTATGGGTATATTTCATAGATATAGGCTACATCTAGATTGCATCCCTTTTTCGTAAAAGGAATGCAAATTAGATGTATCGCAATTGCTAATGAAGCAGGGATTTAAATCTCCCCCGCTTCATTAGCATAAAAATGGCTGCCACTTTTTTTAGGCACGGAGCTTTGCCGGAAAAAGCGCCAGTCTAGACGCGGATCTTTCGGAAAATAAAGCCTTTTCCGAAAGATCCCTTATCCCTTATTTTATACATATACATTAGTTTATAGTATATGTGAAAATTCATTTCCTTCTTCATATCTTTAGCTAATGAAAACCAATTTAACTTTGAATGCATTTCTGATTCCTGCAACCATCAAAACAAGATATGTCAGGTTATAAGGCCCTTCCCCAATAGTATTCTATTATTTTTCCACATATTTATATTTTTGGATCATTCCTTTGTTTTCCAACCTTCCAACCAAAGTTGGATTTTTCACTAGTTTTGTTTTTATGATCTTTCACAGGATTTTGAAGAAACACCTCCACAAATCTTCATCTCCATAACATTTTAAGGAAATATTGTATAGGTATATACTGTGATAAAATCATCATCTTTTCCCAAACTTTGCTCAAAAATTATGCCAGTTGATTTCAATGAGATGTTAGTATGTTATCATTAGGGAACAAAGCATAATGTCACTGAAATTCATTATAGTAATAATGTAAGTGGAACTGTACTAGGAAATATTTAATTAACTATTTCAATTGAATACACCACTTTCTTCTCTGAATTATTGTGAAATGTTTCTGCACCCTCTTAAATAACTGCTGTATCGTACCCCCAAGAGGTAGCTGCATTTAATCCATAATTAAATCCTGGCTGAATATGAATCAAATCCTTGCTAAAAATTCCATGGCAAGTGCTTTTAGAAATAAATTAGCTATTATAAAAATATAAGTAAAAAAGATGCATGGTAATATTTATTTGTAATAGCTTGTTAAATAAGAACTATGGAATACTGTTTGTTTGTGTCTCCTACTTCCAATCCTTCACGATATGTTCATGATCAGGTAGAAGGTGACTGTTTCAGAACATAAAATTCTGTTCAATGAGAAAAAAAGAATACTCAACTATAGCTGTTAAGATGGGAGTAGCAAGAGATGAATTCTTACATAGCATAAAGACTGGATTGATCGTAAAAATAAATTATATAATTTTCCAGTCTTTGTTTATAATATCCTATTCTGTCCTGATCACACAGCACCCCCATTGTGTTAGTGCCTCATTCCACTCAACTGTAAAAGCTCCATAGAGGTTGAGTAGAATCTAGAAATCGCTATAGTAGATTTGTAAGAATAAAAGCTGTTCTCTCTCAGCTGGCTTAACACACAGTTCTGTTTCTTGTCGTTTAAGAATTCGATGCATGTGCCTTCACTATTCAATTTTTGGACTAACGTGTTTGCTTGTCCAGTACATTTTCAATGACCATCTCTCAGATTGATCCAAGGTTACTTTCTTATATTGCACAAAGATTTACTACTATTGTTGCAGATTCCGGGATGGCATTGTTTAATGACCCAAATGGTTTCAACAGATTTATAAGAGAAAATGGTGATAGTCTTTTCTAAACTTAGTAGCAAAATTAGTCTACTTGGAGTTATCCTATTTCAGTAGATACTTTGGAAAGCCAGTAATAATGGTTACAATCACTTAAAGACAACAGCCAATAATCACTCATTAAAAAGCCACCAGATTTTCCCAGTTTGAACTAATTAGATCTTCAGTCCCATTGTATCTTCTAATTGTTTCCAAGATGTTCAGTCCTTTTGCACTCTCACTGAAAAAAAGTATAACAAAGCATTAAAGTTATGGCTTTGTAATGTTTTTTTGAAGATTCTGTAGCTCATGTTAGTGCTAGTTGAAGTAGTTGTCTTCTGT